TGTGTGTGTGTGTGTGTGTGTGTGTGTGTGTGTGTGTGTGTGTGTGTCCAGGACCAACAATACCACAAGAAACTGAATTAAGAGTCACGTGTCACCTGAATGATAAGATATTAGCTCAGTCTATCTTTCCATCAATTGTTTACACACATTCATGTATTTGCACATTAAAAGAGAAATCTGAATGACTCAGCAAACAATAAAAATGACCAAAAATCACAGAATATATGAAAGCTTGTTAAGGTAAAAGAAAATAGTTGTTGTTCTGATAAAAAAAAGAACATGCAAACCTTTTTTTAAGATGTAAACGTGGGACCTTTTTTCACTGTTAGATTGTCAGTTATCAGTTAAAGCACAGGAGCATCACAGAAAACAAATACCTTCATTACTCAAAGCATCATTTGATATTATGTGTATCCACACATAGCCATCACATATAGTATATACCATTGACTGTACATAAATGCATGTTATACATAAATTAATATGGATTTAAATAGACTCATATATATTCTTCTTGAGGACATCTTCAGAGTTTGAAGGGTAAAGAAGCCTTTCGGGTAAAGGCTGTTTGAGCCTCTTCTTCTTCTCTTCTTTGAGTTTTATTGCATCTATATAATAAGCAGCAATGGAATTTACTAAATTTACAGAAGAGCCCTTATTTTTTGTTTTGTCTTGTCAGAAATCTCCTTAGAAGATTCACTTATTGAGAGAAGCACACATTGGTTTGTATTGTAATTTGCAGAATCTGCTTTAGAACAGTGGGTCTCTCAGCGCCATCTAGTGGGCCGTGGAGGTACTGCCAAATAGTTAGCTTAGATTCTTATATCTAAAAGCGCTCTAAAATTCACATCAATTAAAAGAACTAATTAAGAATTATTTTTAATGAGCAATTACGTTTGAATATCACATCATCATGTAGAGATGAGCTTGTTTTGCCCACAGACTGTAATGTACTAAATGAACATCATGCTGTATTGAAGAAGACTTGAAACTAGAGATTGAGACCATAAACTCATGTTTACAATGTTTACTTCTAATAAATCAAGAGAGAAGTAGAGTCATTTTCTCATAGACTTCTATACAACCAGAGGAGTCGCCCCCTGGTGGACACTAGAGAGAATGCAGCTTTAACACATGAAGCTTTGGCTTCACTTTAATGAACCGGAGGTTGCCGGCTGGTTTTGCCACTGTAGCTAGCTAACATTATCTTGGATGCAGTGACAAAAAATGAAAATCAGTCTTTAAAACTAAAAAGTGATGTCGGGGACGACCCTGTGCCAGTTAAAGTTCCATGTTGTAAGGAAATATGATCCTGATTACGTTAAATTTGGATTCATAATGGCGTTCATTACAGCTGACAAAGGCACATATTTACAGACTATTTTTTCTCTTTTTTTATGTTTTGTCATTTATTTAAAAAAATTTTTAACAATCAGAAGTGGGCCTTCAGTGATAACAGGTTGAGATCACCTGCTGTAGAACATCCAACATGGCTGCTGAGAGCCCTTTGTAGAGCATCTCTCAGCACTGAACCACAAAGCCGTTCCTGCTGCTCTGACTTGCCTGTAAACCGTTAAATCACTTCTATTACCCTCGGAGGGATTCGTCCACTTTGTCCCGCTGCCTCTCGCGGTGAGATTTACATCGAGCCGGCCTGCAGCCCCTTTTCAGTCGGCACATGTCCTCGCTATTGTCCAACTCTTACAACCTCAAACTTAATTTCCTGGAAGTGATGTGGCTCTTCGTGCTTCTCCCAGGGTTCCGTTCTCTCTCTGCGGGCCTGACCCGTCACGGCGAGCGGCGCTCCCCAAAGGCCCCGACGGCAAGAATCAAAAGTGCGCCAAGGCTTAGCGTGGCTTTTGTCCCGCTAATTAGCATAGTAATGATTAAAGAGGATTAGTCGGTCAATTCATTTGGATGTAAATGTGTGCACTCTTAACCGAGCATGTGTGATTTCGTGTTGGAAGTTGTTTATTAAAACGACGGTGTGTTTTGTGTGTGTGTTTTCTTGTGTGTGTTACGTCGTGGGGACATAAATCTGATCACACATTGTGGGGACCCGGTCCTCACGAGGCTAAACATTTTATTTCATGTGTGTGGTTTTGTAAGTGCACTTGAATGTGTGTATGTGTGCGTGTGTCTGTAGCACACAGATAAAAAGTTAATTTACTGAACAACATAAGCTTGGACAGCCAGCACTCCACAAGCACAACCACTCTGTTTCCATTTTTCTTTATTTGGATAAATATATTTTTCTCAATATATAATCATATACTTATATCAAGTATATTTTATATACTTAATTTTTCTTATTATGTTTCATCTTCAACACCTCTAAACCAGCAGTGTGTCAGCTTTTTGCAGGTTTGCATCTGTCCTTAGTGATAGAGTATATATATATATACACAGCAGTACTGTTTCTTCTGCTCTGAATACCTCTACCTCTGTTCATGTTGTACTTTTGTTCTACTTCTGAATAGAGGAATTATCCAGCTGCATCGGCTGGTTTCAGAGTTTTAATCTGCTGTGACGGCTTTCAATGCTGCTGCAAAGTCTTCTACAATCTGACCATTCAGGGGAGACACTGGTGGTTTTGTGTGTATGTGTGTGTTTGTGTGTGTGCACGTGCTGGGCCATGTACTGCATGTTTCCTCGTTAATTAACCTGCTCGTCGGTGACGTTCCAAATCACCCAGGCGAGTTTACATTTCCTCCTGAAAATCTCATTAGTGCCTCACCACTGAGGATTCAACACTCTGTCACCCTGCCAACAGCACACACTCTCACACACACTCTCACACACACACACACAGACACACACATCATTCAACAGGAGAAAGGCAATCTCTACCGCTGTTCCCCCCGTAGCACCGAGACATTTCCCTGCCGTCTCTGTCGCCCGAGACCAAACGTCCCATATCTCATTTTCCTCCCTCCCTAATCGGATTAACCCCCGGCGTCCCTCAGCAGGCCCAGTTTCTCTATCAATGGGCGACAGCTCGGCTCCTACAGCGTGCAGCTGCCTGTAAAAAAGAAACAGTCTTTTCACGGAGAGATGTAGCCGAAATCACCGGCTGCAGTAATCTGCGGTCTTTAGCAGAGGGAACAGAAAGGAGAGGGGGATCTGGGTTTGATTTATCGTCGGCCGCTTTGTTCGCTTCGATTGTTCTTGTGGAAGGGAGTGCGTGTTAAATGGGGATGTTATAGGAAAGAGGAGGGACTGTCTCTCTTTCATTCTGTTCACTTGCAAATTCAAAATGTGTGTGGATGCACTGTGTTAAGCAGAGGCTAGCAGATATATGTTCATATTATACTCTTATAAATTAGTCACATGTATTCAAAAACGTGTAGGTTCATAGCACCGATACATTTTCACATTATTACTATTTGGTAGCATTACTGTAACCTGCATGTGAATCCTTGTTCCTGTAAACTTCTGGACTGATGATAAGCTTTTAAAAAGTCATCTGGATTAACTCCAACATTTAATTGACTTTACTTTTTCAACTATTTTTTTACTTTTATACACGAAACTTCTAAAAAACAACACATTCATTGTTAATGACAATAATAATGAGGAGGGGAAAGTGTCGTAGAAATGAAAAAATGCGTTTGACACTGAAATGATGTCATACAAAGATGTGATGAGATGTTTGACACATTAATATCCATGCAAACATTTATCTCAACTTAAATCAAAGCCAAAATGACAAGAAAGAAAAAGTCATGTTATTGATCTGTAATGATCTCCTCATCAGCCCCATCTTCTCATTTTATTCTAAGAATATTCTCTATTTTTGTAATTAAACAGTTTTTTCCTGTGAATGCATATTTTGAAACATTCATTTAAAGTGTGTATGTGCAGCACTGGTCTGATGAACAGGGATAGAATAACTAATGGTTTGTTCTTTGGCCTCTGTCCCCTTCGTCTCCCTCCTTTGTCCTCACTTCCTCTCTCCCTATGTCGTCCTCCCCGTCTCCTCCCCTCTCAGGTGTTCCTCCGGGAGTCTCTGGAGCATCGCCTGGAGAAGCAGAGGGAGATGGAGGTGCTGAGGGCCGCCGTGATCATCCAGGCCCACGTCATGGGCTACATGGCCCGGTACGACTCGATGTTTAAAGTTAAATATATCAGAAACAAGTGACGTGTTCGTTCTGACCCAAAGTCCCGTTCGTTGACTGATCGTGCTGATTTGCCGACGCTGTCCCCCACACACACAGGAAGCAGTACAGGAAGCTGCTGCAGTGCATTGTGGTCATCCAGAAGAACTACCGGGCTTTCTACTGGAGGAGGAAGTTCCTGCTCGTCCGCTGGGCGGCGCTCACCTTCCAGAAGCGCGTCAGAGGCCAGCTGGCCCGACGGGCCTTCAGCCGGCTGCTGGAGGAGAGGAAGAGGAGGGAGGAGGAGGAGAGGAAGAGGAGGGAGGAGGAGGAGCAGCTGGAGAGGTGGGCTAGTCAAGTAAAAGGAGGAGTTAGTGGTATTTGGCATAGAAATTCTACCAGTTGCTACTCTCATGTAATCCGTTAAAACCCTAAATACTGTCATGTCTGCTGCATTTTACGCGTTACTTTTCAGGGCTGTGTGTAGTTCAAATGAAAGTAGTTTGCAGTTCGGATGAGCAGTTATAGCCACAATGAATGAGTCATGAGTCTAGTTTTTTGACTTAATATTTGCACATATAACTCATACTGTTGTTGTTTGGATTGATGTGTCGGGCCTTTACAATCTGTACTCCTGATGGCTTTTATGGAATTTTAATGCCACGATGAGACAGGAAATGAAATGACTTGTTTCTCCGGTAGAATCTCTTACCGTCAGTCAGCTGACTCCGTCTGTCTGTTTGTGTCTCTGCAGGGTGAGACAGAAGCTGGAGGCTGAGAGACTCGCCAGAGAGGTACGATGAAACACGATTATTTAGGAGTTCATTTTTATGATTTTAGATATTTCACTGATCATTTGTTTTGCAGAGGAGCCCAGTTTCTAAACACGTTCAAATTGCATTTAAACAAAGATTTAATTCAGATGACAGGAAGTGTTTCTGTCACAGAGTTTTCATATTTTTGTCTTTTTTTCCATGCTCAGGCTGAGGAGGCCAGACGACTGGAGGAGCTTCTTCTGGCTGAGGAGTTGGCCTCTCTGGCTTTGCCTCAACCTGCAGCAGCAGCTGCGGCATCAGCGGACACCTCGGAGGAGCCGCAGTTGGCGGAGTCGGCAGAGGCCCTCGAGGAAGCGTCCGAACCGGACGAGGCAATCATTCCTCACGAGGCTACTCAGGTGGAGGAGATCCTGCGACTGGAGCGGGAGATCCAGTCGCTGCAGAGGCAGAAGGAGCGTCAGGAGCTCTCCCTGACGGAGGCCTCACTCAACCGGCTGCAGCTCCTCCGCGACCAGGAGCTCCGGCGCCTGGAGGACGAGGCGTGCAAGGCGGCGCAGCAGTTCCTCGACTCGCTGAACTTCGACGAGATCGACGAGTGCGTGAGGAACATCGAGAGCTCTTTGGGAGTCGGCGAAGGGGAGGAGAAGGAGAGCGGACGGAGGAGAGGCAACGAGGAGGAAGAGGTCGACGAAGGGTTCGAGGCGGATGACGAGGCCTTCAAGGACTCGCCCAACCCGAGCGAGCACGGCCACTCGGACGGCCAGCGGACGAGCGGGATCCGGACGAGCGATGACTCGTCTGAAGAAGACCCGTACGCCAATGACGGTGTGACCCCACCGCTGCCGCCAACCGCCCTGCAACACCAGCCGCTGCCTTTACCGCCGGTGCCCCCACCCTGCCACGCCGCCTCATCCAGCGGGGACTCGGCCTACTGTCACCCACAGGCTTCGACCGAGGCTCCGTCCGATGACTTGGTGGAGCTCATACCGCCGGACGAGGATTCGGACTACGACCAGGACGACTACGACGAGGGCGCCATCGTGTCCAGTGGCAGCGTGGCCTTCTCCAACCCTCGCAGTGGCCAGTGGTCTCCTGACTACCGCGGCTCTGTTGGCACCTACAACAGCTCAGGAGCCTACCGCTTCAGCTCGGAGGGGGCCCAGTCGTCGGTGAGTTGGTGCCAGGCGGCAACCGCCGGTTCTGCCGAGTGAAGTGTCTTAAAACTTGCATTCTCTCTAGTGTCCACGAGGGGGCGACTCCTCTGGTTGTATAGAAGTCTATGAGAAAATGACTCTACTTCTCTCTTGATTTATTACCTCAGTAAACATTGTAAACATGAGTTTATGGTCTCAATCTCTAGTTTCAATCCTTCAATATATGGTAACATCGTCGAACTCGAGGCTTCATAACATTAGTCCGCAAACCAATGGGCTGCACATCCTGAATGTCTCATTGCTGTTGTTTTTATTCCAGTTTGAGGACAGCGAGGACGACTTCGACAGACTCGACACCGATGACGAACTGTCGTACCGGCGGGACTCCGTCTACAGCTGCGTCACGCTCCCGTACTTCCACAGCTTCCTCTTCATCAAAGGTATCTCCTTCAGTACTTACACTTCTTTAGAAAAACATTAAAAGGACTGAAATAACCTCTGACTTCTATAGTCCACGAGGAGAGATGAGTCCTTCTTTGGAACAATATTGTAGTGTTACTTCGTCCATTTTCAACCTTGTTTTACGTACCCTGAACTCTCACAATGGAAATAAAGAAACATCGTTTTTTACGTTTCTGAGTTACTCACAAAACATCCAAAATAGAATTAGCAACACGACCGTTTTCATATGTTCAGAAGAGTGTGACGACATGCGTTTCCTCTGCAGGCGGTCTGATGAACACGTGGAAGCGGCGCTGGTGCGTTCTGAAGGACGAGACCTTCCTGTGGTTCCGGGCCAAGCAGGAGGCTCTGAAGCAGGGCTGGCTCCACAAGAAGGGAGGCGGCTCGTCGACGCTGTCCCGCCGCAACTGGAAGCGCCGCTGGTTCGTGCTGCGGCAGAGCAAGCTCATGTACTTTGAGAACGACGGCGAGGACAAGATGAAGGGGGTGCTGGACATGCACGACGCCAAGTAAGGACCAATCAAACATGGCCGAGTCAGTTTAAGACCCGAAGACATCAAATTTGTTCACTTTTTTATCTTTTATTGCTGGCAACAATAACTAGCATGAATTATTAATACTTTATTACTTCTTAGTAATCAAACAGAATGAGGAGTGGACTGTAATTAGTGTTGGAGAAGCTCATTTCCATTATTGCGTATTAGACATGCAGGCTGAGATTTAGACTCAAGGAAACGGACACAGCTAGACATCTGACATATGAAATAATCATAATTACAATATTGTCTCAATAACTAGGATGCAGTTCTTCTAATGACCACTAGATGCTGATTTTACAATAACAGATTTGAAGTAACTTGAAAATTGCCAACTTCTTTTCTAGAAGTGTAAATCCAGAACCTTTTAAACAAAGTTAGTGTCTTTCTTACATACATTTATATTCCTTTATTGTTTTGTGGTACTTGTTTTGAAAATTATTGAAACTATTGTAAGACCGCAGTGATTCAATAATAATTCATAATTCCACGTCACCTTTCTGAGGGCCAGAGTACTATACTATACTATATTATGACTTTATTATTTTTATTGCACGCTTTGTTATTACACCCTTCATGACATACTATACTATGTATTTTCATGGCATGCCAAACTGCCTTTTTATGATGTGCTGTACTATAAATTGATTTTTTTATGTTTTTGCAACGATGAATTTCAAGCTGAGCCCTCGAAGGCGACCCGCTTGTGGAGAGATTCATCTGTTTCTGTTTCTTGTGATCTGCAGAGAAATCATCGATAACACCGGTAAGGAGAACGGAATCAACATCGTGATGCCAGAGAGGACCTTCCACCTGATCGCAGAGTCCGCCGAGGACGCCAGGTACATTGTGTTTGTTTCTATTATTACTGTTTAATGTACGCTGTGTATCATCTTTCATGCAGAGATGAAGCCCAAAACATTATTACAATGCTGACGTCACACTATCATTATCATTCTCTCTGAATCCTTCTACTTTTATCATGTTACATTTACATTATTTCTACACACACATGTATTTATTATCCCTGTGTTCTTACTGTACCATCTACTGACACATAGATAGTAATAGGGATGCATTAATACAACATTTTCCTCAAGGTTATATCTTATACTTGAATTTACATTTATAAATCATGATACACTATCCCAAATATATATTGTTCCTTTTGTTTTTTCATGTTCACACAATTATATCTCCATTTAGGGAGAGAAGTTGACTCAAACAACATGTGATGATGTTGATGTTGATGTTGATGCTGATGCTGATGTTGATGCTGATGCTGATGCTGATGTTGATGCTGATGCTGATGCTGATGTTGATGCTGATGCTGATGCTGATGTTGATGCTGATGATGTTGATGCTGATGATGCTGATGCTGATGATGCTGATGCTGATGATGCTGATGCTGATGCTGATGCTGATGATGTTGATGCTGATGCTGATGATGCTGATGCTGATGCTGATGATGCTGATGTTGATGCTGATGCTGATGATGCTGATGATGTTGATGCTGATGCTGATGTTGATGCTGATGCTGATGCTGATGCTGATGATGCTGATGCTGATGCTGATGTTGATGTTGTCTCCGTGTTTACAGCCAGTGGTTCAGCGTGCTGAGTCAGGTCCACGGCTCTACAGAGCAGGAGATCAGAGAGATGCATGACGAGCAGGCCAACCCCCAGAATGCTGTGGTGAGTACTGCCGGGGGAAGCAAAGCACTCATGTGAAGAGTCTGAATAAATGCTCAGATTTCTACCTGATTCAGCTGCTTCACACATAACATGTCAGTTTGTCCTTTGTTGTGTTTGAAGCCTCAAATCAGGAGTTTAAATGATTTGTAGAATACAAATCGATACACAGATTTTCTGTATCTGTTTTTGGCTAAACCAGAGGAAAAGATATCTGAAACGTCTAAATATTTAATCACATTGATGCAAAACAATCCTGATCCTTGATGTACGGCATGGACCACTGTGGTCTGATACATCCAGTGTGCTCAGTTAGGCTCAGGAACATTACCATTAGCTTAAAGGCCGGCAGGTTTAATTCCACTCCAGAGGACAGACTGTTGGTTGTGTGAGAATGAGGCGCTCTCTTTGTTTTACTGTCCCGTCTACATAAGAGACGTATTCTTTAGCTAAATTACCTCCTTTTATGTTGATTTATTTTAGCTGGATGATTATGAATAACCTGACTTGTGTTTCAGGAAAAGGAACCTTTTTATAGCATATTTTATTCGCCAAGTCTGAGAGAGAAGGCAGAATATTTGGGCAAGATATATATGAAAATAAATGAATAAATCCAAAGATATTAAAATGATAGAAACCTCAATATAAATAAGGTACAATTAGACAATAACAATACATTATCAATTACACTTAATACATCTCCACACAATTCATCTTCTCTTTAATTACAAATTTCCTTCAGTTTCCTTTGACTTTTGAATCCACTGAGTCATCATCTGAACAGTGTTAGGTTTATTCTGAATCCACTCGACCTCGTTCGTTTGTTCTTTTCTGTTCTGTTGTGGTCGTTTGTGTTGAACAGGACACAGGTGTGTTGGTAAAGCCACATCCTCTTTTCTGTGTGTGTGTGTGTGTGTGTGTGTGTGTGTGTGTGTGTGTGTGTGT